ATGAGGGTGGTCCCAGGGGTTGTGGCTGCTGGTGACTTGGCTTGATGACAAGTTAGGAGTACAGAGCTATGGAAAAGCAGGCAGTTACAAGGAACAGGAGCCACACTGCAGAGGTGAGCAGACAATGGTGGGACCCAGGGTAGTAGGCACAGGTAGGAGTTCTGGGAAATGGTATAAAATGGAGATGGCTTAGATGCTCTGCTGTCATCAGGCTCAATACATTTCCTCTCCCACAGAGCTGTTGCGTGCAAGTACCACTTCACTGCTAATAGGCTGAGCTGTGTTCCAGGACTTCACTGTACTAAAAGTGAGTCATCGCTGATGTTGATAATATTAACTAAAAATGTGGAGCCTTAGAAATGGACAGACTCAGAAAGCTCTGACAATTCCTGAAGTAAAAAATCCACATGTAATTGGACTCCAAGTACTGGTGATTCCATCTCCTCAACATCTGTCTGTGATCCATCCATCTTTCACCACCAAGGTCACACTTACGTCATCTCTCTCTTGACCTATTACAGTCGTCTTCCTCTGTGTTCACCTCTCTCAAATTCACTTTTATTCTGTTACAACTACCATTTCCAAAATGAAAATCTAACAGTATTATTATCCTGCTTAAAACTCTTTCAGAACAACTAAGGGGACCAGGATTAAATTACATTCATTTGCCTGTCTTCTCTTCTATGGGCCATGAGCTCCTCAGAAGCAGAAACATAAATTTAAAATTCGTACTTGAATCCATAAAAGTGCTCGACAAATATTTGCTGAAAGACTGTTTTGTGTCATTATCTGCAAAGGCGTATGCTTATATTTTCCATTGACACCATCTCAATAGACAAGGCCAGAAGCTCTGTAACCTGGTCTGCTGTGGCCTGCTGAACTCCACCGTCAATGCTGTTAGTGACACCAGGAGAACCTGGTGACCTAGGCTTGCTGACATACATGGATTCAGGGATCCTGGTTCCTTCAGGACATGGCATCTCACACCTAGTGTAAGTTTCTTACCTTGACAGGTATATAAAAATGATGCAGTTCCTTATAATTTTTAGAGTGATAAGATACTAATTATGTGCTTTGCTTGCAAGCCACTATATATATATGTGTGTATGGGTACACAAACATACATATACTATATTATACATAAATTTTATATATGTTATATATAAATATGACACATAGATAATGTCCCATCATGAACTTAGCCCCTTTGCCTGGCCTACGACTTTGAGAAGAACTATGACTTGTTCATTATGACATTCACTTCCTTTCCCTTCTCTTCCTTTCCAAATACAGTAATACCTTGGTTTGCAAGCATAATTCATTCCAGAAACAAACTACTTGTATTGCGAGACACCGCTTGTTTACCATGTTATAATGTATTAGAAATGTTTGCTTGTCTTGCGGAGCACTCGCAAACCACGTTACTTGCAATCCAAGGTTTTACTGTACTACCCATTCTTTAAGGCCCAGCAAGACTTGTCTTTCCCAGGAAGCTGTACCATCTGCAAGCCTTCTATAATTTAACTCAAATCTATTGACCTACGTTTATTTCCAGAGGGAATCATTACAAATACAGTGCTCAGGTACTACATACTCTGGCCACATTAATCTGATGCCTTCCACAAAGGAAGTGCTCAAAAAATACCTGTTGAATGCGAAATGTGTGAATTAGAGCCATGCATTGCCTCGTACAGTGTCCTGTGCACAGTATAAAACCAGTAAAAACCAGTAACTGTATGAACTGTTCTCCATACACACCTTGTATCTGTATCTGTGCACTTCTGTTTGTGTTGTTCCTTGATCACATCAGCTGCTCCTGTAGTTGCCTCCTGATCTTCTCAGACTTGAAGTCTTAACCCAGTATCTATTTTAGCTTTTGCTGAAATAACATCAACCTCTTCTATGATGTTCTCTCTAATTCACTAGAGCCACAAGTGACCCTCCTCTCCTCACTCCAGTGCAGCTCAGGCCACTGTTTCCATAGTGAATAGACACTGCCTCATCCTGTAATTCTTTGTGTATATTCCTGATCTCCTAACTCATGATAAATTCCTCGAGGGAAGAATCACTGTATTCCTCATAGCCCAAAGTTCAATCTTTGAAATAGAAAGCTCTAAAAATATATATGCACATTGAATTTGTTGAATTAACTAGTCCAGTCCACCTTGATATACTCGTTTTCAGAGCATCTTGATCATTTGTATTCGTCACACCATCTAGACCTTAAAGCTGTACAGTCTCTCCTTAGTTTCCAGAAGTTCCACACATCCCAACCAGATGGAGTTTTTTCAGGGGACGGACTTCCCTCTCCCACCTTAGGGTGCCAAGGTCCAAGAGGATTCTCAGTGGTGGACTGACAGAAATAGTAGAGATAAAAGCTAATTTGTAACAGGCACTCCTTGGAAGAATACTCATGTCCAGCAAATCTTCACATACATTTCTCATTAAAACCATCATCCCAGGAGCAGCAGTTTTGATGTAGCCAGTTGACAGTTCAACCCTGTGAAGCCCTCCAACAGTGAGGTATGATCGGTCACTCCTGATTTTGGAATAAGAAATTCTCCCTGCGACTCTGTGACCTGCCTTGAGGAGCAGGCGTAGAGACTAATATTAAGGATGAAAGACAATGAGAGCCGCTATTGCAACACTTCAGCTAATACAATGGTGGCACTGTTTCATGTTTAGTTCTCATTAAATTTCCCATAGGGCATTTAGACTTAATAATAAAAAAAAAATCCTCTCTGGGCCAGTATATTTCTAATTGCTCATCTGCCCGGGCAAGAAAATCCCTGCTCAAGACTTCTAATGTCAACCTTCCCCAGGGATACAGATCTGTCATCTTCTACCAGCTTCCGGATGACTTTTCTCCAGGTGACGCTTCCCAGATCCCTTACTCAGCAGTGCCACATCTTTCACTGACCAGGCTCAGTTCAAATGAATGGATGGTGAAACTACAGTAGTGACTTTTTTTCCCCTCACTTTTTTAAATCCTCACCTATATTTTTAGTCTGCCTTCTACAATGGGAAAGAAAATAGATATAAAATGATTTGGCTACAGTGTGGACCTGGCAGTAAAAGAAACACATGACCCACGAATGTTATCTGAGATGGAATCCATGTGGTGTCATGTGATTGCTTTGGCTAAACCCACCAAATAAATGGCCAGAACTGGCAACCACACACACGCACGCGCGTGCTCATGTTCAAACATGCTCATCCACACCTTCTTACGTAAACCTCATCCTTAACAATCCCCAGGCCATTTTAAGGTAGAATTCTGCAGTAACCACATATTCCAGAGAAATTTTGGTTAGCCCACTAAGAGGGAAAGGGGAGGAACACATTTTTTTCTTTGCTAAATTACTTACTATGTGCAAGTACTCGTAGGCTACCTGATTTGTGTTTACTGTAACACCACTGCATTTTCGTATGCCTGGGTCCTCCCAAACAAAGAAATGAAGCAAACAAGAAGCTATGGAAAAGCAAAAGACAAGGCAAACATAAAGTCAGCTAATGATGCTGTTTGCTCCACTTCTCTTATGAAGTTAAAGGTTTATGTCCACGCCAAAATGTCAGAGCAGCTGAAATAGATGCTCTTTGCAGACTCTCTAGGTCTAAAATGTAACTCGAGCTCCACTCTTTCAGCTGGGAGTACATTTTTAAAGATATACCTTTAAAGCTGTCCTTTGCCATGCTTTTCATTTCACAGGTTTTTAAGATGCCTCAAGCCTTCCCCAGTGGCGTGCAAGTCACCTTAATGAAGAAAGTGGAGATTAAGGCACCCTGACTCTGGAATAGAAGAGGATCTCAGCTGTAATTCTTTGGCTCAGAACCAGGGTCTAAAACCAGCCATGGGAAAAGCTGCCGAAATGGAGCTTGTGATTCTCTCCATGTTTGACTTGCATAATGTTGACATTATAACACCAGAGGGAACCAAAAATATTTCAAACAATTATGACTTCTTTTCTATAAATATTTTTAAACTGCTGTAAGAGATAAAATAACACTATTTTACCCTTCTTATTTTCTTAGTGACCCTGGTCACCCTCAGCACTTCACTACTATGGATTTATTTTTGGCTCAAAGGTCAGGGAGGACATCTTAAAGCACTACCTCTGCTCTTAAACTATGTTTTCCAACATGAGTTGCCCGGTGAGTAGGGGAGTTAGCTACTTGGAAAGCAGCAACTGAATGTGGTGTCATAACATAGGAGAAATACATGGCTTCTTTCATCTGTTGAAGCCCAAACAAGGAAAAAAAAATCAAGTACTCAAGACAATCTGCTAGAAAGTCTCCCACCTCTATATGAGCACAGTTGTCTTTCTGGACAGAAAAACCTTTCTTCTCGTTTCCTTTCATTACCCTTTCTTGTTCCAATTATTTCTGCTATGAGACATAAGTTTGAACAGATTGAGACTTTTCTACTAGTAAGGAGAATTAGAGATGGCCAAGGAAGCTCATGACCTCTGCATACATGATTTAGCTATCTAAGGCATCTCTCCCTTCAAACTTAGCCAAATGGCAACCACCCAGACAGTGAGAGGTGAAATTTATTTGAAACCTGCAATTTCCACTCACAGAAAATGTGATTAAGGGGCCTTAATTGTGAGCTCTGGAAATAGGCTATGATGTCCTCAATCACAGACGGCCTGAGTGAGCAGTAGGTTAATAACACTTCGGTGCAATTTCAGTATCTTTCCCAGCGCCCAGGACCAAGAGACCTGGCTTGCCTTCAACATAAATGCCCTCAGAATGATTTGTAGCATTTATTTTCGATATGAAAATATCAGATGCCAAAGCTGGCTACTGTATTCCTTGTAAAACATCCACAGAAAAGTCCTCAGAGTTGATGATTTTAAAGCCAAGAGAAGTTTCCTATTTGCTGCTACTTCAAAATTACATTTTTAAAAAATTAAATCATCCAAAAAACTTAGATTTAACAAATAAAGTTCAGTGTGATTTCAAAACACAGGGGCTGGGGATGGGAAAGCAGAACTCACCGTCACTCCCAGAAAAAGCATCACTTGAGCCTGCGACTGCCAAAGTCAGCAGCAACTTCCAAAGATCCATACCTGTAGGACCTGCAATCACAAAAAGAACACATAAGGTGACGCCAACTAGAAGAAGACAGTTATCATTCAATACTGTTTAAAGGCTTGCTAAACCATGAAGGAGCTACATGTGTGTCCATTCTAGAAGGAATCCTAGTCAGTCTTTCATTGCTCCAGAGTCTCATATTGTCATAATTTTCATGACAACCAATAGCAGGTTGTAATACATTCTACTGCCTGTGAGTGCTGGTCTCAGGAAATAATATGGACACTAGAAATGTTCACATCCTGGCCGGCAGCCACAGGCCCACCTCACAACAAATGACCCCCATGCCCTGCTTCAATAACAGGGCTGGTGTGGTTCACGTTAACTTGATCTGGGAATAGAAAACCTTGTCTGCAGTATCACCGAGCCCGGGGCCTTGAGCTGGACAGGCCATAAAAGGAAAAACAAAACAACCCACTGTAATAGTGAAACGTCTCAGTGTGTTTCCCAGTGAACAAAAGATCTCCATTAGCACTCAAAATACTGTGCTAATAGACCATCCTAAGGAGGTTTAGTTAGAAAGCTGCATTAAAGGAGAAGGTGAGAAAGCAAAGAAAAAAAAACCATCGGTGCTGCCAAGGTGCCCTTCTTAGGACATCGGGGTCCTCATGGGTTTTTAGTTTTAGGAGGCATGTGATCTCTGAAAGGCCCCAAATGTGAACACCTCAGGCTCACAGAAGGGCCATTTCCAGTCTCTAGCCATCTGGAATCCCAGTTGGCCACGCCTTGAACCCCTCAGTTTGATAAATGGAGAAGAAGATCAGCATGCCTCGGCCAACACACACCTTTACCTGGGGAAACAAGCTTCTTTGGAATAAATAAACCAGGTGTCCACTTCCAGGATCTCTGAAGAGAGGAGGCTGGGCTGGTTTAAAATGAACTCAGCAGACTGCACTCTGGAGAGCTTTTGCTCCATCTGAAAACTAACTAATGCCAACTCCTTTAAGGCTGAGCTGCAATATTTCCATAAAAATTACACTGACTTACAAGTCACTCAGTTATACCTGATCACCCCACTGGGAGCTAGCTAGCTCCACCAGGGCCTCTGTTGGTCTCATTTTTATTATTGTACAGTCTTAACAATAATGAAATAGCCGTTCACACTAATCGGGCTTAAATGATGAACAAGAATGTTTGTTTTCAGGGATAATGAAACGGTGTGGTCCCTGGTAATGGCTGCATAATTCTGAAAAGGTATAAAATGTCTGATCTTCTATACTTTCATTTCTACACAGTAGATAACCCATCATCTCTTTTGGTTCCGTATGATTTTACATTCTTAAAGATTCTAAGACAATATATCTCTACATAAACTGAGCATCTTCCTGTGTCTGAGTATGCATGTATATGCCAACATGCATAAGGAGCCCCTCAAACACTGCCTCACGGAGCCATGGATAGGATGGAGTGTGACAGTGCAGACGAACACACTTTACCAACTGCGAGATGTCATTCAAATGTGAGTTGTAGTTGTAACGGTGATGTTTTAAATTCCTAACCTGGATGGCTCTGGATTGAGGGCCTTGCATCATTCTCATCTACTTTGTAAATGTGAACCGCTGAGTATCTTTTCCTAGGTCCTTTACTCCTAGGTGGACAGGCTATGGAATCATAGTTTGAAGCCTCCAGCAGAAATACATAAAAAGGCTAAAAACAAATATGTTATAGGCTGAAAATGCTATGAGGTTGGTAACTAGATACTTCCCTTAAAATTTTATTTTTAAAGTATTTGTTAAGTAGGAAAAGCATTGAGAAACTGTACTCTGTATAGTTAGTTTTAGCAGTCATCCCCCAACACACTTAAGTGTCAGGTAAAGAAGCCTTCTCTGGCATACGCTCTCTAATATCAGGTTGTAACAGATTCCCAATTCCCAGGCAGAGGGTTTTGCTTTCCAGCTGACTAAGGATATGAAGAGGTGTGCATTTCTCAAAGGGTGCTTTCTCTGGGTTGGAAGTAACTTCTTCAAACATCTCAAAGAGGCTTGGCAGATGCCAGAAACAAGTGCATCTTGCTTCAGGTGAATAGTAGTTGACCCCTTTCCATCCCTGAACTTTTGAAAACTGCTGCCTGCTAATGAATTTCACTTCAACCAAACAATTCCTTTACCAGCCAAACGTATCTTGATAGAACAGGTTCTATCTCACAAAAGAAACAAATTAATCAGAATCCCCAAAGCAAAATTAACCAGAAAATTTTTGCACACTCCTACAGAAAAAAAAAAAAAGAGAGGTATTTAAAACTGTTATTCTCCCAAATAGGAGATGAGAACAGTTTACTGCCACTGAGAGCATTGCTAACTCTAACTCTCTACTAGGGGTGACAGCGGAGAAGAGGATAACTAAACGTGGCTGGATTCAGTAAGAGCTAATTGCTTCATTAGAGACTGGCTCCCCTTCCACTGTTGTTGACTCCGGGCGGGGGGTGGGGTGGGGGTGAGTCTAAAAGTAGCCCCTAGCATACTCCCCTAGCAAACTCTCTAGAGCCATCACATCACCTAGGTCAATGGGTATTGTTTGATTGGATTGTAAACTGCCCCCCTTCATCTCTGCAGAGCTCCATGGGGCAGTTTCTAGATGAGAGGATCCTTCTTTATTAGGTTCTAGCTGAGACAAAATGTCCCGAGGAGAGAAGAAGAGTGCCAACACATAAAGTTTGGAACTTTAATATAATCTATCAACGATGTGCCAGATGTGAGCAGGAGAAAGTCCCATTTTCCCCCTTCCCCATTATAATAATTGGAATACAGGCAGGCATTGTCCAGAGGAATCTACCAAGTTGTACCTTAGCCTATTGCATTTTTTTAAGTGTGCAATATTTTTTTCTAGGGAAAATCCCTAAGTGTCTAATGATATTTATGCATTCTTTGGCTATAGCCTCATGGCCAGATTTTCATTTGGGAGGGGGAGGACAAGTTTCAATTCTTGCATAATGAAACTCACACCATTTCCACTCTCAAAGCCTGAGGCATTTTGCCTGCTCCCCACTCTCTCAAGGGAGAGCCAGCTGAAAAGCAGTGTGATCTAGCTGGTGTGGATTTTAATTCTGCAGACTGCCCAGCAGAGGAGGCCTCTAAGTTATTTAGGCCTGTGATAGAATGACTTTTATTCTTTGGCTATAAAGCAGTCCATAAACACATGAGAAGAGATGGACATTAAATAAATATATTTTTTCCAATATGTTATAACCGACTCCAGGCAAAGAAAGCAATTGTTTCAATTCTCTTTAATTTAAAATTAGCAAGTATTTGTTGAACTACTCGTGTCTGCTAAGCATGGTGCGAGGCACAATGCAGAATATAAAAGTAATCAAAATCATGGTTCTTGACTTCAAGAATTAGGCAACACAGGCCCATGAAACTGGGAAAAGCAGTAGCACACCTAAAAATGGAAGGCCGGAGTAGGGAAAAATCAGCCACTGAATTGAGGGGCTTAAAATTAGAGCTCAATGACAGATAAGATTGTGATAGGTAAGAAAAAGTAAGAGGGTGTGGGTGAACTTTTGCTATGGGCCAATGTCCTGGGTAGGCGTCTGGGTTCTGATTAGTTTAGGATAGTAGTCTGAGGGGGCTGGTGAGATAGTGAACAAGGTTCAGAATTACAAAGAAAGGAATAAAATTAGGTTGGCAAGGGAGGGCCGACCGAAACAACATTTTCAACTCATATTAATCAGAAAGTCACTAGACGTTTCGGTACAGGTAAATCATGTGCAAAAGCAGATTTTCTTAGGATAAATCTGCCCCTCATACCTTCTTCACTTAATATCACTGAGAAATACAGATAAGATCTGGTGACGACTGGATACAGGAGACGATAAAGAGAGACATGTCTATCACAAATGACTCAGTATATAGTATATGTGTGGATGAAAGATGGTGCCGTTGACAGAAATCAGAAATGTGGGTTCTGAATTGTTTAGAGGGAGGAGAAGGTCGCATGACTGTCTTGGCTACTTGGTGTTAAGGCAAAGTACCAAAAAAGGCAGCTGAACTGACCAGAAATAATGTTTCCTCAATTTTTTTATTTTTATTGATCTAGCTATTTTGATCCTGAAAAAAGCAAGAGCTGACTAAAAAATCCTCATGGAAGCCAAATTGTTATATTGCAAAACCAAGACTCCAGGTAGATAACCTAATAAATGTGTACTTTCTGATGCTGGTGTTGATTACTAATGAAATATTGCAAAAGTGAATCTTGTTGATTTCCTGGTGAACCTTTCTTAAGAACTCAGCACTGAAAAAGGAAGAGGAGAACCCCAAAGGATATTTGAAATGACCCATTCTAATTAGCACCAGGCAATTGATTTGAATAGTTTGCATTTGGGGTTCAAGTTTTTACCCACTTTCTTTGGTGGTGGGGGTTTGAAAACTGGTTAGAACCAAAATGCCTTAGGTCAATTTATTTTCTTCTAATTCATTAGAGAGGGAGAAAAAGTTCACAGACATTATTGATATAACTACTTTTGCTGAGATTTCTCCCTTCTCAGGAACCAGTGGGGAATACAGGATGGGAAGGTATTTGAAATGTGTAAGTAATCAGGAGAAAAAAGCTTTGGGGAGTAATGTATATATACAGTAGGTCTCCTTTTTAATAAAACAAATAAAGCATATATGGTAAGTACCTGTGCTGACCAATTCCATTATCACCAGTCACCTGGGGCTACTGAGTACTTAAAATGTGCCTAATGTGACTGAGGAATTAACTAAGCTAAATTTTATTTAATTTTAATTAATTAAATATTTCAATTAAGTTTTTAATTAAGTATATTTGGAACAGTTTGGGTATCTGAATCCACTTTTTTAGCTGTAGATTTTATGAAATCTAAATACAGAGTAAGTATTTCTGATGAAAATTTAGCATTTTAAATTGAGATGTGCTGTACACGTAAAATATACATGGATTTTGAAGGTTTGGTGCAAAAGGATGCAAAACATTTTAGTAATGTCTATGTTGACAATAAATTAAGGTCATATTTTGGATTGTTGGG